GGTTTCACCTGGTTTCAGTTTACACTGTAACCTTTCAATTGCAGACCTATCTAAAGGGTAAAAGAGCATAATTTTGATTTTTATACTGCACAAGGGCAAGGTTAAAATACTTTTGATTCTAAACAAGATTAAATTATTTTCACTAGAAGTGCTAGAAACAAACTAGTGAGTATTGAAATATAGCTTGTTCAAAGTCAAGTATGTGCCAGTAAAAATATTTTTCAAATATTTAGATTTCTTTAGAGACATAGGTTGTCTTCAATCTATATCAGTACAGTATGAGTGATGAATGGATTGAGAGAAGCTTTGCAGAAAAGGAATTGAGGATGTTGGTGCATTAATAAATCGACATTACCCAGAAACTTGAATCTCAGAAAGATAACTGTATCCTTGAGGGTGGTGGAACACTGGAACAGGTAGTCCAGAGAGCTGCTAGATGCCCCATCCCTGGAAACATTCAATATCAGGTTGGACAGGGCCCTGAGCACCCTGGTCTAGTTGAAGGTGTCACTGCTCATTGCAGACAAGTTGGACTTTAAAGGTTCTTTCCAAGTCAAACTATTTATGATTCTATGATCCTGGACTGCATAACAAGTGTAGTCAGCAGGCCAAAGGAGGTGCTTCTGTCCCTCTACTCTGCTCTTGTGAGACCCCAGGTAGAGTACCCCATAGAATACTCCCAGTTCTGGGAACCCCAGAACAAGACAGACATGGACTTGCTAAAACAGCTTGGGAATTTGTCATGAGCATGATCAAGAGGCTGAAGAAAGGCTGAGGGAGTTGGAGCTGTTTAGCCTTGGGAAGGAAAGGCTTTGGGGAGACCTGAGTGTGGTCTTTCAATACTTAAGGAGGGCTTATAAAGAAAGGTAGAGACGTTTTTCATGGGCTTGCAGGAATATCACAAGGGAAAATATTTTTAAACTGAAAAAGGTAGGTTCAGATTACATATAAGAAATATATATTTTATGCAAAGGTAGTAAGAGATTAGAAAACTTGGTTGCCCAGAGAAGTTTTAGATGCTCATCCCTGGAAGTGTTCAAGACCAGGTTGGATGGGACTTTGAACAACCCAATCCAGTGAAAGATGTCACTGCTCATGCCAGAGGGGTTGGATTAGATGATCTTTTAAGGTACCTTCCAAACCAAATCATTCCATGATTCCATGATACTATCAGTAGATAAGTAATGTGTTAATACTATATTATTATCAATTATTAGATTATTGTTTTCTTCAGTTCACCTTTTTTGTTCTTATTCTAGCAATTACATTTGATTTTTTAATGCTTAAACACAAATTTTCTTCTGCATGTGCTAAGCATATTTTATCTGTGATACAATCTCTTATTTCCTGTGTGAATATAGTCCCTGTAAAACTATGTAAAATAATTCAGGACATCATACACACTTCACAGAGGTAGAAATGACTGTACAAGCTTTTATGTAATAGATAAGCAAGTTCACTTTGTGCTGAGTAAAATTTTGCATGCAGAGACCTTGACAAGGAACACTTAAGCTTTGTGACAGGAAAAAGCAAGATCGTTCGTAATAGTAATTGCTACAAATCCTGGTGTCTGTGGCAGCAAACAAGTTTGCAGGATTCTGAATTCAGGACAAAGAGGTGTGGAATGAAGATTAATCCTCATTGAAATGAAATAAATTCTGATAAAGACAAATTTAACTGTTTCTAAAGAATGTTTATGCAGATAAGTTATCTGCAATTATAGCTGAACTGAATGAAATTAACTCGGTTATTCTTTTAAAGATAAATTTACAGGGAGGGGAAGCAGAATGAAGCCCCCATAATCCAAGTGGAAACAGTCAATGATCTACTTGATAACACTTAGATACTTAGATGGTTGATGGGGCTGGATTGGTTCCATTCAAAGGTGCTAAGGGAGTTGGAGGGAGAGCTTGCCAAACTACTTTCAATCATTTACAAAAAGTCCTGCTTAAACGAGGAGCTCCCAGGTGACTGGAGGTGGGCAAATGTGAGGCGAATCTACAAGAATGACAAGAAGGAGGATCCAGAGAACTACAGAGAACTTTTCAGACTGAGCTTTGTGGTGGGGAAGGTTATGAAGCAGATAATCTTGAGGGACATCAAAAGCACAAGGGATCAGGCTTGGATAGACTGTATATTAGGAAAAATTTCTTAACTGAAAGACTGGTCAAGCATAGAGACAGGCTGCCCAGGAAAGTGATGGAGATGGAATCACCATCCCTGGAAATGTTCAAAAACTGTCTAGATGTGGTACTTGAGAACATAGTTTAGTGGTAAAGATGGCAGTGTTAGGTTAATGGTTGGTCTCAGTAATCTTTGAGGTCTTTTCCAACCGTAGCAATTCTATGATAGCCAGATAATCAATATTAAGTTTGATGACCTTTACAGTTGCAAAACAAAAATTATTTTCCTCTCAAAAACATTGGTAGTAGACAGTTAAAGCACAAAATGTTTATATCAGACAGATTTAAAAAAAAAAAAAAGAATAAAAGGAAAACAAGTGTTACAGGAGTAGAAAAAGATATGGTCAGAGCAACTCAAAAAGTGTTAGTAACTTCAGCTTCAAGAAGGAATCTCGAAGATGTGCACAAAACCACTTACAAGAATACTATTTAAATGAGAATAAGCTTACCCAGAACAGCAGATAGACCTAAGTCAAGTGGGAATGAGGATCTAAGCAGAGATTTTTTTTTTCTGACAAATGTTCCTAATGCTGCCTTGCTGTCTATAATCCCTAGAAATTCTTAATCATATATAAACTACTTTCTATTTTACTCTAATTGTGAGAGGAAGTGATGAACAAGAAAGGCTATACAGAGTTTAATGCCAGAACGTATCATCAAAACATCTGTTTCCACTTTCATATTACAGGCTCTTATCTTCCTCCCACCTCTTTATATTAATCAGTAAGATTTAACACATTAGTCTTCTGGTACAGTTGTAGGGGACTGCTTACAAATAGGAAATTTATTAATAAAAAAAAAATGTCTTAGGCTCCTGAAATGATGTAAACAGGTTAAAAGGAATCTATTAGTTTGGTGTAAGTAAAAAAAAAAAAAAAAGCTAATACAAAACACAGTTGACAAAATTTGAGATCCCTAGTAATCTGTCTTGGAGGAAAATTTCTTCTCAAAAATAAATACAATGATCAACCTGTCCACTACTATGTATATAGGATATCCTTGGTGAGTACAGCAACACAGGATTTTGGTTCTCTATGTTCCATATGCTGTCCAGCCTATACTGTATCTATTTTCAGTTAACAAAAATTTCTGTCAATATTTTGATCGTAGCTCAGGAATAGAAGAGCATGAATGAGTCCTTTTGCAGGTGATCAGGAAATTAGTGGATTTGGCTGGATGGGTGTTTTGATGGCCTCCTTCTTCCCACCAGCTTGCAGAGTAATCTGTATCAGGATGGCCAGTACTGCTTTCCAAAACAAAGTCTATGGAAAAGAGAATTATCATCCTAGTAAGCTACAGAGTAGTCAGATATGAAGCTTCTTCAGAAAACAGAGGGAAAAGACTTTGCAGGAGCTTGACAAAGGGTTTCACTGTTAAAATACCACTTGGATGGCTACACGGAGTTAAGATTATACGGCAGTAAGTTTTGCCTTAGTTCTGGCAGTGCAAATTCCTGGAGGCCTGGAGCACTTACTCTCAGTTTTGATTTCCTCAGCGGTAAAGCAAAGACTGGATGATTTCAAGAAAGTGTCTGCTACTTCTTAATTCTGTGAGAAACACAATAGAAGGACTCAATCCAGAAACTTCTAGGAGAGAGTACATGGTGTGATTCTTGGGGTGCCCTTCACAGGGCCAGGAGCTGAACTTGACGATCTTGATGCACCCCTTGCAACTCAGCATATTCTATGATTCTATGAGTCCATGCCTATTTGAGGCATAGGTAAAAATTCTGAGCATATAAAGAGAATCTGATGCTAGTCAATCCTTTTAACAACTTATTCTGTTTATTCTTTTTGCCATTTCCTCACCCAGTTTATATTTATTCTAAGTGAATCTGATTAAAGAATAGCTGATTTATTGGAACGAGTGTCTCTTAGACAGAGAGTAAAATGTTAGGAAAGATGTCAAACTGTCTTTAATTACGGCTGAGATTTCATACCTTAAGAATTATGTCTGTCAGTGATCATTTATGTGGAAAAATTATATACACATATCTCTTGGTGAATGGTTTCAAGAAGTTTGGCATGGCTAGCCCCTAGCAACCTGGACCTTATTTTCAGAAAGGTTTTTTTTGCTTTAATATTTTAAAAATTTTATGAAGTGGATTTCTCTTGGAACTCGATGTAAAGTAAGCAAAGATGACTCAAATTTCCTTGAACACATTACCCATGGATTTATGGAACATTCAGTAAATTTACAGAGTAACAGACTGTAAGTATTTTCTCTCTTTTGAAAATGATCTAACTCTATTGAAATATTTCTATAAGTCTGGTCTGTCTGCCAGAATATACTTCAAGAGAAAATTGATTCACAAATTCTGTCCTCACCAGGACAGTTTAAACTGACTTGGCTTACAAATTCAGTATAATATTTTTTCCTTAATGTATTTTAAACCAGTAAGAAGAATCATGCCCCTATAAAGAAAAAAATCCCAAGATTCCTCTTTATCCTTGCTCCTGATTATGTTCAGTCTCTCCCTGCTTTGAAGCATTCCACATAAACAACCAGATGTTGGCTTCAAGGCATCAGCTGTTCTCCCCTGGGTTTCTGTTCAAGATGCCTGATGCACAGTTTGTTCAACAGTGTTATGGGTCTGTTTTGGATGACATGGAGGACTTTCTGCTCAGCTCTGTAGACAGTATCATTCTGTGCAGTTTTGAGGCATGAAAAAATCCTGGAGGAAAATAAAAAAGTCTAATTTAGAAATTATGTAAATATGCTCTATTAATTTCATAGTAAACAGAAGACTACAATTTAGGTAAAAATGAAAATTTAGGCTCAATTGAATAAACTTACCTAAGAGATTTGATGTATCCCATACTGTCTGTGATGATATCATGATACTGTGTTTTTTTGATTTCCTTGCTTCTTTGTTATAAAAATGTCGCAAAACGCTGGGAGACACGAGCAGAAAAAGTTGCTTTAAGTCTCGTTTATTAAAGATTTTACAAAGGTTTATATGGTATTTTTGCGAACAGCATGCAATGCTCGCATTGGTCAGAATGAGGGTGGTAGGTTGTTTTCTCTACAAGGATTTGCTATAGATACAGAAACCTATTTTTCTACACATCTTTAGAAAACAAAAATCAGAAGGCTACACTTTCCCAGAGAACAGAACACTTTCCCAGAGAACAGAACTCAAAACAAGATTTGTTATGTTTCATTCTAATTAAAGGTATCAGTGTCCAAATCATAACATCTTCCTGCTGGAGACGGTTCTTCCTTTAATTTACCAGGACAGCTGGGCTTTGTTTTCTTGCATTCCTTCGTTATCAACCTGTAGCAGCTGCAAGGTATCCGAGCAGTCATGTCCACGGTCAAGCAGCCACTGCTTTGTAAAGCTCTCCACATAAAAATTTGGCCAAAATCAAACAAGCTGTATGTTAACAACAAATATTACTTTCCTTCATATGTTCCAATTTCTCAAGACTGCAGTGGTCTGACATTAGTGGTGTCCAGCCCAAACCTCCTTTCTTCCTCCCATACTTCCAGGACATGTTCCCTATGCTCTCTCAGTGCCTGTGCAGCATCTTGTGCATCTAATTTGAACCTTTCTAGAGTCTTATCTTTGCGTCATCCTCCTCAATACCAGACCTTGCCCATCATGTCTTCAACAATCCTTAAAAAAAAAATCTCATATTGACAAGGAAGAATACTTGCTGAATTAATCAGTAGGATGTAGGTGGACTAGAGCCTGTCCAATATTATTGCCTTTGTGAAAGTTTTTCCTCACCCTGCTCAGTTCACCTGCCAGTATGAAGAAGAAAAACAGGGAAGAAGGTTCAAATGGCCATTTTTAGTCAGCTTGGATTGCTGAACACAGAGAGGGTCTTAGCCCAAGCCATTGTTTTTAGTGTGGTCTGACCTCAATGACTGCAACAGGACTGAGAAAAACAGAACAGTTGAAAAGAGGACTGAATGACATTTTTGGATAGTTCCTGGTTGTTTTCCATTTTTTTTCCATATTTCTCGCAACTACAGCAAATGGAGGCATGAGGAATGTGAAGGGTCTGCCTTGTCTGCCCCCACCTTGACAGCTGTTAGTGACAATACAGTAGGTTTCCTACTAGCCCTTTGTTCTGATCAGTAACAGTGAACTGATTTCTACCTTATACATATTCTCTTTATTTAGCAACAAACAGACCTGGACATCAATGAAATTCCATATATTTTATCCCAGTATAAGTGAGCACAGACGTCTTTCTTCAGCCTATCATGTTTGGAGCCATCTCTTCCGATTATATGATCACAAGTTAATGGCCATTTTGACTCATCAAGAGCTGATTGTGTAGGGAAAGTGTATCCAGTAGAAACACAGACATGTTCCCATCCTGTGACCTAGGCACAAATTGATGTCAGCAAGGCAGGGACAGAGGGACACTGTACCAATGTGAATTGCTAATCCTGCCTAATAAACTTAACTTGCATAATTTTGAATTTGTCAAATTAATTTATGCTACAGTACCTACTTATCATGATTTTGGCAAGGGTGAAATTACATTGCTTCCTGAGAGCAGCAGATTAGTTCCTATTTACACCGTGGTGACTTTTGACAGCCCTTTGCCCTAGAGCAGCCCTTTGAAATTAGTGATATTCCACACACATGCTCTTGGGATTTGTTTCTGGCTGATCTCTGTTGTTAAATTCTGTTCTGTTGCACAGCCTGCTCAGATGTACAAAGACATTTGACATTATATGAGAAGCCCCAGCCAACTTTAAATTCAGATCAGGTCTGTTAATCAAATGCACATTTTCTCTTTCAAATCTGTGAAAGGTGTATACACCTATTTTTATAGTTTTCAGTTATAATAACAGTGTCAAAATGTATGTTGGTAATTTGCATCATACTAAATGTTTTATTAACATGAGGTGAAAATTTAATTGCAATTAGAATTAAAAACAAATCAAAATATATTTTTTGAAATAGGAAGAAGAACATTATCAAAAGAGAACATCCACTGACTTTCAGCAGTAGAGGGATTTTTAGAATACTTGTCTTTCGTGGATTGATAATAATGTTTGCTTTGATTGCCTACGAGATAAAGATTCCCAGACCTAAACATTGCAAGCTTGAAAATTTTGTATCTTATGTGCTAAATAATTTCAGTAGAGAAGTCATTAGTCATATGATTTACATAATTATTCACACAAATTTTAAAGTGCTGCAAACTAGAAACATTTAGTGTATTGTAACACCTGATTTACTGTTAGATCAACAAAATTCATAAATAATGCTTCAGTGCATTATGATTATATGCATTTTGCTTGAGGCAAATCTGACACCCTGCTATCCACACTGCAGTCACTTCTTCTCTTTCCTCATACAAACAATTAAATTAAGATATATGCATCTAGCACCCATTGAAGGAGAATAGTCATAGGTTTTTCTTTTCATTGTTTTAATTTTTTATCTTAGCCTGCACATACTTTAACTGTTAGGTTTATACTCTCACTTGCACCTGATGCAGACCACTTTGTAGTCAATTTGCTGGATATTTTTGATTTCCTAATATAAAACTCTTCATGAAATGTTTTTCACCCTTGATTAAGCACATTCAGTGGAGAAATAAAATGAAATGAGCAAAAAGAATTCCTGGCAAAGTATTTAATTAACTGGTTTTACTCTCATTATACAATGGGGACTAAACAGACTTGAATGTGAATAGGGAAGACAGAACAATGCCCTAAAACACAAAAGCTCTGATTATTCTAGATACTTACCTGCTACTGAGCTGTCAGGAGGAATTAAGATGAATTTCTGTTGATACCGGTAGAGAAGAGACTAAAATACTTTAACCACTTTAACTGAAAAAAATTATTGGCTTAAACAGAAAATATCAGATAAGATACATCATGATACAAACCTTACATAGTTTCTGTTTTAATTTTTAAGTCATGTATCTTACAAAAATAATCATTAAAAGAGTGTTGAAGTATCATTTTCCTCACATAATTAATATTCTAAAAAACACCGAGGAATTTATAACTGTGTGAGTATTCTTTAGCATATCTTGTTCAAATAAAAGCAAAACTGTTTGAAACAGGAAAGAACCTTCCCAAAAAATCTTATGAATAAAGAATGAACCAGTTCTTTCTATTCTGAATCCTTTTATTTTGATGTCATTTTTAATTTAATTGCTAACTTCCCTATATCATCCATATGTAGTCTTCAATACATTCTGCCTACTGAGTTAGAAGTTATCACAAAAAGTGTCTTAAATATGAGAATGTGTGAAAAATGTTAAAAGCCTAGTAGATGTGGTTAGATAAGTCATCTTCTAACATTTAATTATGGAAATATCTGATTGTCTGATAGATGATTTTGTACACAGTTATCACTATTCTGATTACATTGTGGAGAAATTCAAATTAAAAACAGTCCTTATTATGCAAAGTTTAACAAATACCTCTCAGTGAAGAACTGTGTCATCTTCCTGAGCTTTGGCTGTGTCAGACCAGCAAGTAAAATCCTCACTATGAAGGCCTTGGCTTGGGGAAGTTAAGATCTGAGCCAAAACCAATTTAAACCAACAGAGAGAATCCTATTGACTTCATGAGATCAAGCCTTTGGAGAGCAGCCTAAATGACTCCAGTGTCAGCCAGCTTACTTACACAAGCCAGTTGGCACTGGCATTGTCAGACAGGGTAATTTTGTCAGTTTTCCTGCATAGAGAATAAAACCAAATATATAAAAACCTGCTGCATTGCTCGTTGTCTTTTTATGCCTCAGTTTAGAAACTCTTTTCAGGTATCTAAACCCTTTAGATAGATGGACCTTACTGCTTTTTATACTTGTTTAAGAGCCTTGTTCTGTCGGAGGTGGACCAACAGAAGCCTACAGAGAAGGGAGAAAGATGCAGAAGGGCTGTGAAGAAGTCTCAGAGGAAGCAGTTTATCTGGAAGTTCTTTAACAGCTGCAGCTGCGAGGGATTGCCTGAGACCCAGCTACAGGATGCAGCCTCACAAACCCCTGTAGAACTCCCCTGTCTGTACCCCAGACCACTCCTTCCTTTCCTCCCCAGCTCTCCTTTTCCCTGTATGGCTGGACATATTCCCTGCGGCCAATCCCTCCATTTCTTTTATCACTGACCCTCAGGATTCGATGTTCCTAGCAAAAATCCCACCTTTTGTTCCCGATTCTTCCATACTCCCCTGTATATAAACTGACATCTTGTTGTAATAAACGGCCATTTTGGGTTATCCGTGTGTGACCATCTCCTATCAAAGTGTGCTGTAAGGGTCTCTTCCCGGGGGGATAAACCCCCCCCGCGATATTGTTCTGGTCCTCTCAAACTGCTTAATGTATAGACGTAATAATAGACTAAACGTAGACATAAAAATAGATTAATACCTGGAAAAAAGTATGGTATCCACAGTAAAATATGTGGTAACACATATGTTTTGAAAATGTTTGTGAATGTTTCTGGAATCAGGACAAGATTAATATTTCTACCTTTTTAAAACATTTTATCAAATAGCAATGATCTTAATTTACGAGTCTGAGGAAAAGTTCCCTAAATGAAACATTAATGGGTTATTGGTGTGTGAACAGTACAAAGCACAGAGGATGAGTTGCTCAGTAGATATTGCAAATTATCCTGTACAAATAATTATCTCAAACTGTACAGTATCATAGCAAGATAAAGACTTGAAGGTCTTTAAGCATTTAAAACTTAAAGTTTTATTTTGCTATAGCCCACATCTCCTTCTGTCTATACTCTAATTTTTGCCAAAATATTAGAAGGAATGCTAAAAGCTGCTTTACAAATAGAAAGGGAGTAAACATAGTGACAGATCTGACAAGAGCAGTAGCTATTTTCAAAATCGTTAATTTAAAATATGTTGAGTGTAAATATTTTAGTAGAAGCGGTAAGGCTCCATTATAAAGCAATAT